GCAGGGGGGTTGGACTAGATGACCCACAGAGGTCCCTTCCAACCCCAAACATTCTGTGATTCTGTGAAAACAGAAATGAGAATTGGCTCCTTGTGTTCCTATATGATGCTGAGCAAGTGATTTAAATGCAAATATGTGTATGTAGCTCCTGTTTGCCCTTGTGTCTGCTTGCACCTACCTGTAAGTGCTGTCATGGCTACAGAACCTGTGAAAACTAAGCATTTCTGCCAGTTAAAGTGTGACCTGCCCCCCCTCCCCCAAATAAAAATACCCAGAAGCTGCTGCTCTGAGCCTGTGTAGTCTGTTGAGAATGATATAGTAAAGAAATGCATTCTCACGTAAAAGCAGATGTACTTATGTAATGTCCTTGTGGAAGAGCATTAAATGAAAGTTACATGGGCAGCAATTGATTATAATGTTGCCTGAGCTTCAAGAATGGAGTTTTGAAAGCATGATGTTGCTTTTGGGGAGTGTGTGTGATATATCAGCTTTGTATACAAACTACAGATGCACTTTTTTCTTCAAGAATGTGTACATCAAGGAGCGTCATTGCGCAACCTACTACTTGAAATTCCTGAACTTCCTTTAAGCCAACTGAACTCCTGTTGTATCCAAATTTCATCTCTTAAAGTCTTTGACGTAAGTTTATAGCAAATAGCAGCCTTCAGTACTTATCATGCTTTAGGACAAGGTGTTAGTCATCTCTGTTCCCTAAACCTGCCAGTGAGTAATACAAATGCCTTGTAGTGAAGAGAGAGGCACCATTGGGACCATTTCTGATTTGACTTTGGGTGAAAGGAGTAAATTATCTGAGCTGCTGCAGACAATATAGTGTGAACCTAGTATTAAAATTTTGGCAGTTGTGAATGTACATACTTGACTGCAGAAACAGATACATAACTCTTGAATTGTCTGTAGATCACACTTGCTTCATTTTCTGATGTTGCAATAAAAAAACCCTCAGGTGTTGGAATAGTTGAAATTCAGTGTAAGCACTTTGATAAACACTGAACTGCATGCGGTAAAATCAGCAATTTTTTTTGTTAAAAGCACAGAGTTCTTATGACACAGAACTGTATAAAGCTGCTAAATGCACACTCGATTTCATCCACTTTAAAGTGGTTAACGTATATTAATTATATTTCAAAAGTGAAATTGTAACTGAAAAATGATCATCAGTGCCCAGTGACAGGACAAGGGGCAACGGGCACAAACTGAAGCACAGGAAGTTCCATCTGAACATGAGGAAGAACTTCTTCCCTCTGAGGGTGACGGAGCCCTGGAACAGTCTGCCC